GAGAAAGGGAGGGGCGGTGTGTTATCAGCACAGTGGCCGCGCAGCCCGAGGGCTCTGCCTGCGGGGTCTGAGTGTGAGGAAGCGGTGCCACCAGCGCCCAAAAATCCGGCTGAGCCACGCTGTTCCCACTGTAATCCCATCACCTCGACCTGTGGCTGGGGTGGGCTCGCTTGGTTCAGAGTCCAGCTCGGGGGGTGAGGTTTGATGTTTTTTCTCTTCGTGTTCAGTAGGTCGAGAGGAAATCTCTGCCGACCCCTGAAATGACCTCTTTGCTGTCAGCTGAGGGGCTCCCTGTTTCGAGCGCTTCCCTCTAGGATATCTTGGTGATGCCAGGAGATGAGTTAGCCCCAGGTCCACTTTTGTTTCTCGCTGGAGCAGTGTCTATAACCATGCTGCCAGTTCCCACTGTAATTCAGCAGAGAACAGTTCCCTTGGGCCTGGACAAGACCTGTCTGAACAAGGCTGCACAAAAGGCTTTCTCTTAAACAGCAGGCGTTTGGTGGGGCTGGTCTGGCCAGAAAGACAAGGCTTTAGAAAGCCTGGGTTACTGCTGGTCCTGCACGTTTCATGTCATGCTCACTGGTAGGAGCAAGGATTATGGCTTTGAGGCATATATTGTGTTCGACCTGTAAACAGCAGATACTTTTTGGATGGGTTACAGTGTGCACCAAGGAGAGAGGAGGAGTCCACCAGCTGAGGTAGAGGTGTGTCATTGACTGTTTAACTTCTCCCTTAGCATCCTTCTGTGAATGTGACCTCCATCCTCAATCTGCCTTTGCCGGAGCTCACCAAGAAACTCCGGGATGGCTCCCTACCTCTGGACCATGTCTTCTATGCCTATGTTGGCAAGGTGAGCAGCAAGGGTGGTAGGCAGTGTCTAAGCCCACAGTGGGGCTGGCTCTTTGTGGGAAAAACCCAGCACAAGGCTCAAGCCTGGTCCAAATGCTGCTGAGCATTTGTTCACTGGTTAGTCCTGGGCTCTTCTGTGAGTGAGGAGAGAGCTGGGCATCTGGGTGCCATGGCTCTCAGCTTGGTTTGGATCAAAAGGGAGTAGCAAGCTCAGCATCTTGGGAGCCTGTACCTTCCTAAGGGCAGGTATAGCTACAGGGAAGTTGCAGAGTGCTGCTGTTGTCTCCCCTCCATTTCCAAATGGGGTTTGAAACCTCAAAGACTCAATGTCCACTTTCATTCTCTATTTTTTCCATAATGCCCTGACCACCTCCTGGATTTCCATTTTGGGGTTATAATTTTATATCACCCCAGAAGCTCAGCCAAGAGAATAGGCTTTGGTATTCTGCTGAGGTGGAAAAGGGGGAAAAGGCAAGTGTCCTTTGCAAACCAGAAGGCTGCTGTGCAATGCTATGGGCTATGTCTCACCTCTGGGCTTTGCCTCCTTTCCCCAAGGCTCTCCAAATGGCCACAGAAACCAACTGCATCACAGAGTATCTGCAGGAAAGCGAGACCCAGGTCCAGAAAGCGAAGCCAGCGGGGAAGCTGGGTTTGCTCTACGGGGTGCCTGTCAGCCTCAAAGACTCCATCGACTGCCAGGTAACTGTGTGTATCCCTAGATCCCTCGGGTTTGAAGTTGGGTGGCAGGGAGAGGTTTGACCTCAGCATCTGGCTGTGACTTTGTTATAGGTGATGTGGGAGGGCCTGCCCTGGTAGGTGGTGGGGTTTGCTGCCCATCTCCCTTATAAGACAACAGAGAAGGCTGGTCAGATTTACCACCAATACACTATGCAATGTGTGTATGATGGATGGGTTGTTGGAGATGCATGCACATGCTTATATATAGAGAGAGATAAAAATATGGTGTCAAGGGAATTGCAGTCCTCCATTTGGAAACTTCATTTTCCTGTGTTCCCAGGGTCATGATTCCACATTGGGGTTTATAAAAAACATCAATAAACCTGTGGCTGAGGACAGTGTGGTGGTGCAGGTGCTCAGGAGACAGGGGGCAATTCCGTTTGTGAAAACCAACGTTCCCCAGTCCCTCATCAGGTAGGTGGGTGCTCCATTCCCTCAGCATGGTAGCACCTCTCCCTCCCTCATCTCAAGTGAGGGTTTCTATCAAGTTTAATTCTAATTTCCCACTTCTTTTTCAATAATAGGACTTGGTCCCCATTCTTAGTGTCTTTTAAGTTTTACTTTAATAAGTGAACACATTTACACTAAGGGTGAAAATTAACTCTAGCTTCAAATGAAATAAAGAGGAGAGAAATCACTACCCTCCTTTCCTGTGCTGGATGTTTTTAAATCACTTTAATCTTTTTAAAATTAACTTCTCGGAGATGCTTCTCTTAACTCCACAGTGCCAACACACATTCATGGAAGGGGAAGCTGGCTAAGCTAATGACCTTAAACTATCCTGCCCCCAAACCTCCTACTCTATCTGGAAAGACCACTTTTGGTGTCCTTGATCTGGGGTGAGATCAGGTGTGCTCTGCTGGACAGCCACCCTGCTAGTGCCCTTGTGTCCTACCAAGTGAACTTTGTTAAATAGAGTGAATGACTATTGCCCAAGCCATATGAAATGCCTTCCTTAAGGTCACAGCAATGACTGAGCATGTTTTTTTTAAAATAAAAAAAAAAAAAAGCCACACAAGGAGTTTGCCTTGGGGATTATCAGATTTGTCACCACTTCCTGGGGGATTCCGATGTTCAAATATCACTGCAGCTGGCATTTGGCATGTTCACAAGCAGGGACTAAGCAATGCCTCCCCTCAGGGTGGGTGGGCTGCTTTGGATGTTCTGTGGCACGTGGGACCACCTGAACAGGGAGGCTCTCTGGGACGGCTGATGTATTTGTGCTGCCAGAGGATCTGTCTGGGCAAGGCTTGATGACGCTCAAATTAGCTGGCAGTGAATCCAGGTCCTGGGACTGTCATGAAAAGGCTGGTGGGAAGCTTTGGGAAGCTCCTTCAGACTAAGTGGTGTCAATACAACAAGTAGTGAATTACCTTCTGAAGGTCTTTTTGTAGTGACTAGTGTCCACAGCAGATAGCTACATTCCTCTCATTTGCCTTCTCTCTCTTGCTCTCTTTTTAGCTATGACTGCAATAACTTAATCTTTGGTCAGACATTCAACCCACTGCTCTACACCAGAAGCCCCGGAGGCTCCACTGGTGGAGAAGGGGCACTTATAGGAGGAGGTGGGTCCATCTTGGGCTTTGGGACAGATTTAGGAGGGAGCCTGCGTTTCCCTGCTGCCTTCTGTGGGATCTGTGCACTGAAACCCACTGGGAACAGACTCAGGTACTGCGAGTGATGTGGTAATGTCTCTGGGTGGGATGCAGCCATCACCCTACTGACTGCTGTGCTGGGATGCTGCTGCTCTCATGGGCAAGGGGAAACTCAGGAGGAACTGGGAAGCACTTGTTTCTCCCTTCTGCCTGGACATTTTCTGGGGGCTATTTAAAGGGAAGCATTGGTTTCCCCAGAATGGAGATGAGGAAACCTTTCCACCTGCATGCTAAGGGGGTGGTTGTTCCTGACTGACAGGGAATAAATCATTCTGGCCTACGTTGGGTCTCTCTTGAACTTCCCCTTGGCCTTCTTGCCAACCTCTGCATCTGCAGAGGGAAGGCAGTGTTTTCATTACCACCTACTACTGCTTAAAGCCTTTTCCCTTCAATGAAAACTACTCAGCTGGTGTATTTTGTGTCTTTTTTTTTATTTGCAGTAAAAAAGGAGTAGTTTCTGGCATCCCTGGGCAGAAGGCAGGTAGGAACTGATGGCTGTTCCACAGGGAGGGCGGTAGGGCAGGAGTGAGAAGGACCCACAGCTGGTAATGAGGGACCTTGAACATATTCAGAGAGAGAAGCAGGTTCCCTTTCAGGGACTGTTTCAGAAAGCCACCCTCTGATTCCTGAGAAACTGGAATGTTTCCAGCCTAGAGGAGCTGTTTGTGTAACACACAAAACTCACACACCCTGTAACAACCAGATTGCTGTGTGGTTTCCACTGCTTCATGGGAGGTGGCATTAGCACTCAAAAGGGGCATCTTATGTTGTCCTTGTGTTGTGATTGACAAAGCTTTTAATTTAATTTTGTATATCATGAGATGGAGACGTCAGGACACATTGATGGATAACAGCTCTGGGTCCATAAAGATGGGCCTGCTGGTGGGAAAACACCGGTAGGCATCTCCAGCCCAGTTTTCAATACGGAATGGTTGCCAACACTAGACTAAGTCAAGAGATGCCAAGAGATCCTGCTTTTGTAGGACATGCCCTTGAAAGCCACTCAACCATGGATGCTCTCTTCTGGTCTCTTCCAGTGACTGCAGCAGTGGGGCCAATAGCGAAAGACGTGGAAAGCCTGGCTCTATCCATGCGGGCGCTCTTGTGCGAGGACATGTTCAGCCTGGACAGCTCAGTGCCCCCCCTTCCCTTCAATGAAGAGGTAAAGGACCTCAAAGGGGGCGAAGGTCTCGTGAGAAGAGCTGCTGTTGCTCAAGCTGAAAACATCAGTGGCTCATGGGAGACCTCTGGGACCTGTGGGTAGCCATGTGGACGAGAGGAGTGCTGCTTTCCAGACTCACCCTGCAGCATGCGTGTGCTGTTGGCTCCTGATGCCACTGACATCCATACAGCTGGTGCTCTTCCTTGCTCTGCAGGTGTATTCCAGCACACAGCCTCTCCGCATAGGCTACTATGAAACTGATTTCTTCACTATGCCAAGCCCTGCCATGAGACGTGCCATTCGGGAGACAAAGCAGCTGTTGGAGGATGCTGGCCACACGGTAGGGTGTTGCATGAATCCAATAGTCATGTTGCATCTACCATGGTTTTAGGACTCATGGGTGAACATCAAGCAAATTTGGCAAGGAAAGGGGGCCTGGAATCCACTAGGCTTCCCACAGCTTTGATGAAAGTAGATAGCTGCTTCTGGAAAAGAGAAACTATTTATACTGCAACTTGATTTCTCTTCTTGGCAGGATCTCAGTGCTCTTTATGTGCTGGTGAGCACAAAAGGGAGCCCACCATGATCCATAACATGCTGGGGATTAGACACATTGCTGTATGACTTGTCTGTAGTGTGGGTGCTCACACCTTGGCTGAGATCCACATTCTGCTAGGTGCTGTACAATGTGGCTCCTGAGGAAGTGCCCACATGGAGCTTACAGTCCTTGTTGTATATGATTACTGTCAGCTCAGCGTGTTCTGTGAGCCTCATGGACCATCCCTCTTAATGGCTGTGACAATCTGTTGTTTAAGTGCTTATTTAGTGTATTCTGGAGCCAGTTTCACCTCTTCTGCATCATATCCTGTGGCAAACAGTTCCATAGACCTATTGCATGTTGCATGGAAAGCTGCCTCCTGTTTATGTATCTGGAAACAAGGACCTAACGAAAAAATAAATGGGCAGTTGCAGATGGCAGATCTTTCATAGCCAAGCAGTCCCATATTGACCCAGACCCATTCCTAGGGCCTCAGGTTTCTGGGATGCTGAGCAGAGATTGTCTCCTTGCTCCTCTCTGCCATTTCAACAAGTAATCTCCTGTCCATGAGGCATGGTTTCAGCTGCACGCCTCCCCCTTACCCTTGCACAAGGATTAGGAGTGAAGTGGGGAGCACAGATTTATGCTTTCTGTCACCCACTGCCAGTTTTGGAGGGACCTTTGTCCCTTTGTGCCTTGGGGCTGCTTGGACATGAGGGGACCAAGCCCATCCTGTATCTTTTGGCTCATCAGTTGTTGCTCAAAGGGAGAGCAGTGTTTTCAGGGGAGGATGGATGGAATGGGGAGGACCTGGTGGCCTCAGATGCTGGAGAGAGGATTTCCTGAGGGCTTGTCAGAAAATCCTCAGCCCAGCTTGGCCCACTGAGAGCTCTCAATGGGTTCTCTTACTCAGCTTGCTTGTGCTTGTGCCACTGATTCCACTTCTGTTGTCCTTCCAGCTGGTGCCCTTCGAACTCATGAACATGGACTATGTGCTCTTTAACTTCTGCGTCAAGGGAGTGTTTGCAGATGGGTGTGCTAGCTTCCTCAAGAAGTTGTAAGTATAGCCTAGAATGGTTTTGTGGGATCAGTGCCTTTCTATAAAAGTCCTCCCTAGGATCTGGCTAGCATCCAGATACACATAGCGGACCTACTGGCTGTAGATATGCTGATATGTACTAGAATTTACTGGGAGCTTACCATAACGTGATTCAGATGAGCTTTGGGTCCCTTTGGGATTGTTACCAGCCTTTACAGATGAAAGGAAATTGGATGATGATATCCTATAAATACTGTGAGAATCAGAGGACCCCACGGGAAAAATGGAGCAAACCTCTTTTTGTCACTTAGATATGTTGTTCAGAGGGGTTGGCCTGGTGAAAGCTGTGATCTTCTGTGATTGCTTCCTAACGCTGCTCAGCTAAATGCCCTTCTCTCTTTCAGCAAAGGGGAGCTGGAAGAAAGCAGCCTGAGGCTGTTTTGGTTGATGAAGTCTCCAAAGTGGTTCAAAAATGTCCTCTCCTGGATCACCAAACCCTTTGTAAGGTCCATTTCTTTCTAGTGTAGATGGAATTAAGCAATAAGTTGTGAATAACTTGCCTCCCATTGCAGTAACACTTTATTGTAGAGAATACATTGCTTCTTACCTGTGCTTAGGCACACCTCCAAACTGGAAAGATGCTATTTCTGGTCCTCGTCTCCCTGGTTTGGGGAAAATCCACAAGTCCTGCCTGAACACTGAGTCAGCAGCTTGTATTTGTGACTGAGCTGTCTCAGAGAACAGGCTGGGATTAACTGTTTTCTTTCTTCTACTTTCCCCTCCTCAGATGCCTCGACTTTCAGCCATGCTAGTGAGTATGAGAACAAAGTGAGTAAATCTGAGCCTGAGCTAATGTGTGAAGATTTGTGTTTCTTTTGTGGAGAGCAGCAGTGCTTGTTACATTAGGCACGCTGCCCCAGCTGCATGCATCTGAGAAGGCAGAAAACAAGGGTGGGAGCAGTTTATGTCAACACTGTAACCCTGCAGGGTTTGGCAAACTGCTCTAGTGCAGAGAATGGGAATGAGGGTGGAGGCTCACAGCCTCTTGCTTAGGAACTGGATGGAGCTTGTGATAAATGATTACGGTGTCAGCTTCAGCACTGGTTAATGCCTCTGTCATGCCATGAGGTAGGGATGCTGTAAGACAGAAGGAAGGTAAATACAATGGAAGGAAGTCTGGCTCTTCCTTGCTTCAGTGTCGGGCAATTATTGGCACTTGTCTGACCAAAACAGCACTGCAACAATCTGCCTTTTAGGCTTCAGCCCTCCATCATGGGCAAAAGCAGAAATAAGATCTCTGGCCCTTCAGAGAAAAGCCAGGACATTGCCAAAGTCCTCTCTTGCCTTGGCTGCAGCTCCATGAGCAGAGCTAACCTGTGCCCATCTGCTTTTTGGTGGTCTTCCCTGTCCCTAAAGCTGGTTTTTGCAGCGCCTCTTGATGCCTTTCATTGTTTATCTTTTTCAGCACAGTGGAAGAAGTCTGGAGTCTTCATCATGAAATGGAGGTAAAGTATTGCAATTTGGGGTTAGTTTTGGTTTTATTTCTCTTTAGAAAGAGGCAGATTCAGTACCCACCAAGGTTAGGAGATGATAGAGTCATTAGTGATGTAAGGTAGGAGCATAGGTCACTCCTCAACAGATCTCAGCACATTTAAAGATTAGGATGACACGTAGACAAATTCATGATCCTGAATCAGACCTGAATTTTTTAGTCCTACACTTGAAAAGAGGACATCAGCTGCAGCAGATTTACCTTTATTTTCATTCTGGTTTCCTCAAGGCCCATGCTCATGTCCATGTCACCATGTGCCCTACACTCAATGTTTCCCTACCTCCAGTTTTAGCAGGGGAGAGGGTGCTTTGTACACTGGGAGAGCTGTTGGCCAAGCACCAAAAGATGGCTGCATTTTAGCAGGATGAGGCCTGATGTAGCCTGATGGCTGCTCCTGGGGAAGGGCCAAGAGCCCAGCTAGGTGCCCAGGGATCATGGGACAGTACATCCACCCCACTGACCACCAGTGTGTTTCCTTCTCAGGAGTTCAGCCAGCAGTTCATTGCCCAGTGGAAGAAGCTGAATCTGGATGTCATGCTTTGTCCTATGCTGGGCCCAGCCCTTGGCATTGGCTACCCTGCAAAGCTCTCGGGTAGGACTGCCAACAGAGGATCTGTACCTCCATCATGACCCTGCTGCAGCAGTTGGTATCAATGAGAAGCATTCCTCCTCCTCCTTCTATCACATCCCAAGGCACTGGCCAGTGGTGGGAGGAGCTCAGTTCTTGGGGCATCTGCAACCCCAACCTATGGGGTGCAGCCAGGACAACCCTCCCCTGTGCATGTGGGTGGCAAGGGGCATGTTTCCATCCTATAGTTCTGGATCCCACCCTGTTAGCTGGAAGCTTGTGTATGTGGAGAGGGGTGAAGGGTTTCCCTGCAGCAGGCTGGCACTACGAGCTCCCTCTCTCCCACAGTGGCAGTCAGCTACACCATGCTCTACAACGCCTTGGACTTCCCCGCTGGCGTAGTCCCTGTCACAATGGTGACAGACGAGGATGAGGAGGAGCTGAAGGGCTACCAGGGGTACTATCGGGACTGGTGGGACCGCACCATGGCAAAGGTGAGTGGCGCCAGGTTCCCCTGGGGTATCAGTATCCCCATCCCTTCCCCAGGACAGCCCCCTGCCCTCTTCCCCTTCTGTTTGTGCCACAGGCTTTTCGCGGCAGCGTGGGGCTGCCCGTGGCCGTGCAGTGCGTCGCCTTGCCGTGGCAGGAGGAGCTGTGCCTCCGGTTCATGAAGGAGGTGGAGACGCTCATTCAGAAGAAGAACGAGTTCATCTGAGTCCTGCATGCTCATCTGGAGCAGGATTCTAGCCAACATCAGTGTAGGACATCCTTTGGTCTGATTTGCCGCAGGGCTTGTGTTCCCCTCCATGAGGATGCAGTGATGGCTGGGCTGGATGCTGGCTTTGGGGTGCAAGACAAAGGGAAAGCAAGGCGAGCTCTGTGGTGGTGGAGCACTTCCTATCATTGTCCCAATACAGTGATTTTTGTAATCAGAAAGTCTGTTATTTCGGGTCTGTGTTTGTTTGTGGGAGTGGATTGTAATAACCCTCTTAACACCCCCCAGGGAAGTGCAAGAACAGGATCTTTCTCTTACAAATGGGAAAATTGAGGCATGGGGACTGGTTTTGTCTGAGATGTTCAGACTCCTGCTTACAATGCTGTAGGAAAAGGGATTTCCCCCTCTGTTCTCAGCTCCCCGAGGGCAAAATCTGGTGTTTTCCCTGCTGCCAGACCAGCAGTCTGAGGTCAAAGCTCAGCCTGCATGCAAGTTCTGGCAAGCAGGGAGGGAGCTGGCCCAGTTCCCACAGCACAGGGCTGCTAACACCCTGCATCCTATGGAGGGGAGATCTGGAGTGATTCAAATCTGGAGTTTGATTCACGGGTTCAAACTTAAACAGGGGAAGTTTAGATTAGGTATGAGGAAGAAGTTCTTCACAGTGAGGGTGGTGAGGCACTGGAATGGGTTGCTCAAGGAAGTTGTGAATGATCAGTCCCTGGCGGTGTTCAAGGCCAGGCTGGACAGAGCCTTGGGCGACATAGTTTAGTGTGAGGTGTCCCTGCTCATGGCAGGGGGGTTTGAACTAGATGATCTTCAGGTCCTTTCCAACCCAAACCATTCTGTGATTCTATGATCATTAACTCTCATCTCCTTCAGACACCTACTGCTGCTTTCCCCAGCACAGAGGCGTGAAGTGCTTCAGCTTGTGGTATTGCATGTGTAAAGCAGAGTGCCAGGGTCAGATGGCCAGCTGGACAGCGTGTCCTGCATACCCTCTCTTCCCATTTGGCAGCAGTGAGGATTCGAGCTGCTGGCAGCCACTGACTGGGATTGGCAGCACTGGCTGCTCCAGGCAGGTTTCCAAGGGTGTTCCAAAAAGGGATACCACAATGCAAAAGAGTTTTCCCAGTGCAGCAGTGTCACGAGCAGATTGTATCAAAGCTCTGGCAGGATTTATGTTTGGGTTTTTTAATGTATTATTGTTGTTTAAAGCGGAGTCATGCGAAAAGCATGGGGTCTTTCCCAAAGCTGGGCAGAAAGGTTTATCCCAGCCTAGGGGACAGCAGCCTGATTCTTCATTAGCAAGTTTCGAAAGGAGGAGGGAGTGAGTTTCAGGCATCCCAGGACTGAATGCTATGTAAAGCCAAGTCCCAGAAGAGCTTGGGTGAGGTTTGCACCAGTTGCAGCTGCTCCCTGCCCACACAGAAAATGCTGGATGGGGTTTATCTGTTTGCAGTTTAAAACTTAAGCTTGGGGCAGGTTGTCCCGGGAGAAGTGATGCTTCACTCATGCTCCTGGAGAGCCAAGCAATGCATCGCTCTTAGTTTAACCACTCTCTCCCTGGCATTGAGGTGTGCAGGCTACAGGAGTCAAAATGATGGAGACACCAGTGGACCTGAACCAGCAAATGATCTTCACTGGAAGCCCTGAGCAAAGACCTCCAGCGAGCCATTCCCACTGTCATGGGGCACTGCACCGGTCAGGGCCAAAGATGCAGCATGGCTTTGGGGACTTGAGGTTGTCAAAAGGGGCCAGCTGCTGGCTGTTCCCAGGGACAGGTCAGTATGAAGGGCAGGGATGGGGCAATGAAGACCACATCCCCACAGTCAGTGGAGACAGGTTGGATTCATCCACATTGAGTCGTTTGGCTCTTTTTGTCTCCGTTCTGGCCTTTCCAGTAACCACTTGGCTTCTGTACAAGGTCTTGCTTCTTCCTCAAGCTCCCTCCCTGCTGCTGCAGGTGTAATCCCACAGGACATGTCTGTAACAGGGAAGGTAACACGATAGCTTGGTGATCACTGGCTTTTGGTCCCCAAACAAGACTGCTCCACCAGACACCAATGATTACCCTGGATGCAGCCTCCTTACCAACTCTGCTAAATGTACTGCCTGGAGCAGAGCCAGCATGTCTCCAGATACAGCAGTGTTGCCTTGCATTTTGGCAATGAACTTTGAGGCATC